TTAAGAAGAACAAGGTCAGAAGCTTCTCACTCCCTGATTTCAAAATTAATTACACGTCTCCAGTGGTCAAAACAGCTTGGTGCTGGTACAATGAAAGATACATTGGTCAGTGAAGCAGAATTGACCATCCAGGAATTCATCCATCCACACACAGCCAACTGGTTTTCGACAAAGTACCTAAATATACCGCATGGGAGGAGATAGTCTCTTCAACAGATGGTGCTGGCAGAACTGGAAAGCGATACGCAAAAGATGGAAAGGACCTTTACCTCACGCCCTATGCAAAAACCAACTCAGCATGGATTAAACACCTAAATTTGAATCCCAGATTTATGAAGTCTGTCAGTGAAAAAATAGGGACAGATGTATAGGGCTTACACAGACTACCAAACATTTTGAAAATTATACAAACAAAAGTAGATAAACTAGATGATAGGGACATAACTAAAAATTAAAAACAGTGCATCAAAAGACTTCACCAGAAGAGTAAAAAGGGAACCCACAGAATGGGAAAACATCTTTTTGCAATGACACATCAGACAAGGGACTCGTTTCTCAAATGTATAGATACCTACAACACCTCTACAAGAAAAAGACAAATAACCCAGTTAAAAAATGTGCATAGGACATGAACCGACACTTCACCAAGGAGGAGATCCGAGCAGCCAACAAACATATGAAGAAATGTTCACGATCACTAGCCATTAGAGAGATGCAAATCAAAACAACAATGAGATATCATCTCACACCAACAATACAGCAAAGATCAAAAAAGTAGAGGACAACAAATGCTGGCGGGGATGTAGAGAAACTGGACACTCCTGCATTGCTGGTGGGACTGCAAAATGGTCCAGCCTCTCTAAAAAACAATATGGCGCTTTCTCAGAAGGTTGAAAATTGAAATACCATTTGATCCAGCAATTCCTCTATTTGGTATTTACCCACAAGAAAAACGAGCCAGAACACAAGTAGATATATGCATACCAATGTTCATAGCAACACTATTCACAATAGCAAAAAGATGGAGACAGCCTGAGTGCCCATCATTGGACGACTAGGTAAACAAACTTTGGTACATACACACAAAATGGAATATTATGCAACCTTGAAGAATAATAAGGAAGCTGCAAGCCACCACATAAAATGGGTGAACTTTGAAGACATTATGTTGAGTGAAATTAGTCACAAAAGGAGAATTAATGCATAGGATCATTATTGCAAAAGGTTAAGAAAAGTTGCCACACTGAAAGTCGGGGGGCGGAGGTGAGACAGAAAAGGAGAGAGACATTTCACCAAAATGTTTAAATAGCTAATGATGCTCTCATAAATTTTTCTCTGCCCTTTCTGGTAGAATGATATAGTGCAGACACTAAAATTTTAACTTTTTTAGTATCTTTGTCAGTGTAAGACACAAAGGAACTGGTTTCTTGGGCCTGAGACAGCTGAAGTGATTATTTTTAAGGACCATTGCCAGCTCCAAGTAAAATGTGGCCTTTTTTTTTTTTAGGTTTTTGGTAGATACTTCAATTGAAATCTGATTTCTTTGAGATGTTCAGTTGCAAAATTGTCTCTAAAAATGTAGAAAGTTCCCCTTTAGAAAACCTTTTAATATCATTATGAATTTTTATTTATATAGGATGTATGTCTAAATAGTAACCCCAAATTTTATGGGTGGATTACTCTTAGAAAGTCTTTAAAGGGTAAGTGGTTTTGTGTTTCATTTGTATTTTTACATCCCATGAGGTTCATTCTCTGCGTCAGTGGAATGAATTGCCTTAAGAAATAACTTACGTAGTTACTGTTCAACTGCCTAGCATCACATTTTTATTTTAATGGCTAATATATTTTTAACTGAACTTGTAACACTCAAGGTTAACTTTGATATTGGTTCGTGTTTAAGAGACATCTCAGTCTCTCTTCAGAGCTAGTCCAGTGTATATCTTTGTATATCTGAATTTCATCAGTGTAAAAGCCCCTCAAATACAGAGAACATAGATGGGAAAGTGATACTGCCTCGTAGACATTCACTCTGTGTTCGTACTTGAACTTTGGGGAAGAGGAGGTGGGAGCTGGGGGTGAATCGAAACTTTTCTCACATTTATACTCAGTACTCCCCAAGAGTTCAAGTCGGCAGAATAGGGTCAACGTGTGCTGTATAACTCTGTGTGTCCCCCCCATGGAGAAACCAGCAGAATGGGGTCATGTGTGCTGCATAGCTGTTGTCTCCCTCCCATGGATAACAGCAAACCAGGTATTGCTGCCAGTGCTCCAGGTGGGAGTCCTCAGAGAGCTAATGTGAGCACGGTAGTTCTGGGCAGGTGATGTCCCATCAACAACAGCCATCCCTCAGATGGTAGCAACCTGTTAGCAAAGTCTTACAGAGCCATAGACGACATTCAGGTCCCTCTCAGTTGTTAGAGCCCAAGCGACTGTGTCGTGTCACCTACAGCGGATGCAGCCCCATGTGGAGTAGGGACATGGTGAAGAGGTGGTCATGGGATGAGACACAGAGAAGTTCTCTATAACAGCAGTCTCTATCGTTGAAGACACGACTTCTGGAACTGTAGTGTTGAAAACACTCTGACCCTGCCTTTACTTGAAAGCAGACCATTACGATTACTCAGAAATGCTTGAGACCTTTCCACGCAGGTCCCTGTTAGACACAGGGTGTGGATGGCCGGTTAGAAAGCAGAGCTCCCGTGTCCACTGCGCTGTGGGGCAGTGTGAAAAGCCCAATAACAGCTTTCCTTCTTCCCGGATGAGCTCCATCCTGATGTCTCCAGGTTCCCAGTGACATGTGACTTTTCCATGAGACGCTCTGTTTCTGGACTTGGGTGCTAGCACATTGCGTTCTGGTCCTCCACGCTGGGCAGGCAAGAATAGGGAAAGCTTGGCAGACGCCAAGGTGTCTCCTGACTCACCTTTGTGATGTCTTTTCTAATCTTAGGAAATGTCTGTGGAATCCAATTTGTTAAAGGCCAGCAGCGCTGCTCGTGGGCGCTCTTCACTCTGGGGTGCAACTGGTTCCACCAAAGCGTGGGGAGCCCGCTGACCAGCTGGCCTTTGCAACAGCCTACTGTGGTTTTTTGAGGGGCTTTTAAGGGCAGAGTCCCAGTACTTTCTACTGGTTTCTAGCAGGTTGTCATGGAAATAGAAAGGGGATTTTGTTGTTTGTTTATCCCCCACATTTCTGTGAATTGGAGGTCATCCACAACAGTGGTTTTACTAAGTGACCACTGCAACAAAATGAAGGGCCCTATGTGTTGGGCCTGACCCACCTGTGCTGTGTCATGCTTGGCAGCACAGACGCTTCAGGCACACCAGGGACAAGAACCTGAAAATCTTGTCACCTTGTCACCTTCAACCGAAACGAAACCACTGTCATAGCATCAATGCCAGCTCCTGAGGGTTTCCAAAGCTGTCAGGCTTCACGGGAGCAGACTGCTGCATCTTGATCCTACAGCGCTGCTGGTGGACTCAAACTGCTGACCTTGTTAATGGCAGGCCAGCTCGTAACCTGCTACTCCACAGGGCACTGAGATTGTGGGAATTGTCACGTGATTGGCACTAATACCCCACCCACCCCCGCCTCTGTCCAGGTCGCGGTCCAGGTCCCCGAGAAGAAGGGCACACTCTCCGGAGCGGCGCCGGGAGGAGAGGAGCGTCCCCACTGCCTATCGTGTGAGCAACAGCCCTGGGGTCAGCCGGAAGCGGACGCGCTCCAGGTAGACCTGAGGGCTCAGTGTGGAAGGAGGCCCGTACGCACACCTCATTTTGTTGTGCTTCACTGAAGGTCTGGGCTGACTCTGTGTCAAGCTAGTTTGTAGGCGCCATTTTCCCAGCAGCCTCTGCTCACTTCACATGTCCTGCTCTGTGCACTTCAGAGACCCATCATGTACACCCTCAGACTGCACATGTACTGTTACCTCAGACTCCTCATCTTGTGCAGTCTAGTGGCACCATCCCCTTTCTCATCTCTGGGAGCCGGGGGCACCTCTGAGATGTCCCTGCACAAGGTTTGTGTGTGGTCATGCTTCTGTGATGACAAGATGGGCCGCTGAGCTGGACACTCAAGGAGCCCTGTGCCACCTCTGCTCTGCTGGCCTTGTAGCAAACAGTGTGGGCTGTGAAGCAGGGAGGCAGGAGGCACACCCCGTGGATCACGTCAGCCACCACACGGGCAGAGTGGGTGGGTGGCCATAGCCACTGTCATAGCTGTGAGGTGAGCACATAGAGCTGGTCTGTCCCCTGAATGGAAGCTGGCCCATGCCTACTTCCGCCTCGGCTCCAGGGGTGCCGTGCTGCTTCCATTCATGGTACTGGGGTAGCTCTGGACTGGGGACAGGCCTGTCTGTCGGGTCCCAACAAGCAGAGTTGGTTGCTCCGTATGCGGACTGCACGGCTGGGTGCAGGCTGACCCACCCCCAGGCTTCAGGCCAGCGGTGCGCTCCTTGGAATGCACATCCGGGAGCAATTGTGGACGGGTACTCGAAAGAGGGAATGTGTGATCAGGCCAGTTAGACAATAGATTCCAGGAACCAGTCAATGGTACTCTCTTTGTCCTAAACCAATTGTTGTTGTGGACTCAAAGCTAGCTAAACTTGACCAAGGTCTTCTACCCACCATACTCATTCTGTATATAAGGGGGCTTCAGAAAGTTGGTGAGAAAATTCCATTATCTTTTCATTTTATTTTTGAAGTCCCCTCATGAATCACAACAACAACATACAAATTACGTTCTGTTTCTTGGCCCTCTCTTCCCAGACATGTGGCGGTTCTGCTGTAATGTGAAAATTGAAATCCACTGTAGACTTACGTTCTTCCTTAGCAAGTAATTGTTTAGCATTTGAAAGTCATTATCGCCTTTGGTGTATGGAAAGGGCATGATCTCAAAATGGATTCTGGGCAGCAAAAGATCTCTCTTCAGAGAAGAGTTCTTGCCTTGCCCTCCAATTAACCTTTGCATTAAAGGATGTCACCGGAGAGGACGACACTTGAATGGAGAGTCAGTGAGTGCCTTCTAACCAGGCGAGGGCACCACCACCTGCAGGACCCCACTGAGAAACGGAATTCAAACCCGTGACCCTGGTTCCCAGAGCTATAGACTGGCTAACTTGGCAGGGTCCACCCATCAGCAAAGCAGGTTTTATTAGCCCTGGAATTAGGTTAACCCGGCAGTCAAAATGTACTCTCCCACCGTCCTGTCTCCTTGCTCCAAGTCCAATGTCCTGTGACTACTTTATGCATGGCCCCTTGACCTTGGTGGGGAGGGTTCGTGGAGGTGGCCATTTCCATGAAGTGGTTACTGACTTGTGAGTGGGAAGAACCGTCAGCCGACAGGAAAGCTTTAGGAAAGCAGTACTGGAAGGCTCTACGCATGTCATCTGTACCTCAGCTCACCACGCGCTCACCTCTGCCACCGTTGCTGTGTCTTGCTCTCTCAACAAATACAGATTTTTCTTTTTTTTTACTTTGTGGACTCAGTTGTAGTTTGTTTTTACTAAACCACTGAAAAGTAAATTGCAGTCTTCAATGACAGTTTCCCTGATGCGCACCCGTGGATCCAAAACAAGAACGCAATTCTCTTGCAAAAATGTCCTTGTGGTACCCATCAAATCTTTAATAACGGCTTGCCACCAAGGCAGGGCGTAAAGATGAAGAAGTGTAATGCTTAAGGTTTTGTGTCACCTTGACGAGGCCAGGATTTCCAGACACTAATTGGGATGTGCTTATTCCTGACCTAAGACGTGTGGTACCAGAGTGGGGTTAGGCCGAGTTTTCTAGAGAAGCAAAACCAATGAAGCATATGTATAAGTTTATTGTCAAGGAAGTAAGGAAATGGCTTACAGTTACAGAGTCCCGAGTCCCCCCAAGAAGAGAGAGAAGCTTTTCTGTGTGTCCATTCTATTGGGAGCAGGCCACATCCCCACGGAAGCACCCATCTAATTGATTGGGATTTTGTCGCCATGGGAATAAACACACTGGCGTGGTCAAGTTGATACAGAACCCCTAACCTTTTTACATAATTGGGTAAAATCCTACGCAGTTTACAACAACACGCCTGCCAGAACTAAAAAAGGAATTTATCAAGAAGGCAAGAAAAGGGTCAGTAGTTCTACAGTGTATTTACTACCCAATGCCACGTGACCCTATGGGCACTGTAGCAGAACTCATGGTAGAACTGACCCACAGGGTTTCCAAGACACTAAATGTCTGTGGGAGCAGGCTGCCATGTCTTTGTCCCACGGAGCTGCTGGTGGATTTGAACTATGTACTTTGCAGTAAGCAATCAAGAGGGCGTAGCCACTGTACCGATCTACACTTGCCTAGAAACATGGACAAAAGGAGCAGCATTCCTCACAGTATCAAAATCAACAAATTGTTCAGGGGTGAATTTAACAAATAGGAGCCACACCTCCCTACAGTGAACAAAGAGAAATTGTGGCGAGAGCGCCGTGTTCCTGGATTACAGGACTTGGTGCTGGGCAGCTGTCCACTCCCCTCCAGGTGGATTATTTCCATTTGGAATTCCCAGAATCTTCTCTTGAAGTCAGTAGAGAGGAACCTAAAGCTCAAGTAGAAATGCCGCAGACCCAGAAGATCCCAAACAGCCTGTTAAAGAACCAACAGCAGGAGTCCGACTGAGTCCTAGTGAGGCCACCACCGCGGGTCCTGACGAAGACCCTACAAAGGCACCAGAGCAGCCAGGCAAGGCAAGGAACTGCGTGGCTTCAAAACGTGATAACACACCAAACCCCAAAATAACCGTGCACCATCCACAAAGTGCAGTGCAGGTGAGTTGCAGACCTAAATGTAACAACTAGAAAATCCTGCCGTGAAAGAACACTAAGTTAGACTTCATTGAAATTTAAAACTTCTCAAAAGTCACAGTTGAGACAACAAACGGGCAAGCCCCAGACAAGAGAAAAGATTTACAATCCATAACTGTAACATAGGCCTTATATAAAGCACCCACAAAATAAAAATAGAAAACAGATTAAAGACAGGTAAAGTAAATGAAGGAATACGCAGATGACTTGAGACAACGTCTCACTAAAGAAGTCAGCTAAGCTCTGGCAACACTGTGAACTACATGCTGAACTGTTCACTCCGAGGGAGAGCGATGAGGCTCCGTAAACACTCAACGATCGTCTCAGAAACCCATGGTGAGGGAAAAGGGACGCCTTAGCAGTGGGCCTGGTTTCTGGTTTAAACTTTGACAAGACTTTCAGGAAGATGCAAGTTAAACCTGCCAAGTGTTGAAGTCCTGATTTGCCGCTCGTGGATCAGCACTGGGCTTCAAGCCACAGAGTAGGTACTTCAGACCCACCAGCCACTTCCAGAAGCCTCACACAGGGTCATTATGTATGGGTCGGCTCTGACTCAATAGCACTTATTCACAACAATATAACCATAGATGCAGAGCACCCGAAACTCTGCTGCCTTTGTTGGGGGTGTGGACTAAGACATGTGGCAGTCCTGGGGAGGTAACGGTACACTGCCCCAGGTGACCTAGAAGATCTGTGTCTAGGCATTTGACCACAGAAACTGTGCAGTTTCCAAAGTTGGAAATGACTTGAGTGTTTGTTACAGGAGAATGGACGAGCAGCCCGGCATCTTCATAGAGGGCATTCTTGTGCATCATGTCCACACTTCTCAGTACAGACCGTCCTGTCGGATGGGACAGGAGTGCACCGTGTGGGGTTCTGTGTTTGAGGAAGGAGTTTGTGCAGGAGAGGTGGTTACCTCGGTGCCTGGGGGAGGGAGACTACTGACTAAGAGCAGCATCGAAGGAACTTTCTGGAACAGAGTCAGGGTTGTGGTTGTTGAGTGCTGTCAGCTTGCTGCTGACCCATAGCAACTCTGTATGGAGTTCCCAAGGAGTAGCGTGTGAGGTGGGTCTCCATCCGGGAAAATGAGCGGTGAGCCCATTTCTTCCACACAGGCTTTTCAGGGTTTGTACGGGGTCCTGGTCTGCAGTTGAGAATGAGGACCCTACTGTGATTCATTCCGGGAGGGACCACCGAGACTTAGCTAGACTTGGGACTTGCATTGTTTGGACTGAAGTGCACTCTACTTTTTTTTTTTTTCTTTACCTTTATTCTGAATCCTGGTGTGGTGCTGTAGGGTAAGCATTGGACTGCTAACCACAAGGTAGGCAGTTCAAACCCCTGAGCAGCTCCTCAGAAACCCTGTACAGAGTTGCTATGTGTCTTTACAACATCGTGTATTTTAAAGGGATGTGATTTGTAAAGCAAGAAGCAGTGAACCTGGAGGGGACTCAGATACCATTTTGAACTGAGCATTTCTTTCATTGAGACAACAATAATGAGAAGGTGTTTTAAGGGAGGGAGAGGAGAGAGGACGGGACACGAAGTCGCATAGTTCTATGTGAGGGACACTGTACAGGCTTCCCTTAGGGAAGACGCTGAACTGTTTGTCCATCCTCAGTAAATCCACCCAAATGAGTCCAGAGACAGCAGCGGGTCCCTTAGCTTGTGTATTTCAATGTCCATCAAGGGCTAGTAAAGCTGTAATTACCAGGGACTGTGTGTGAGTAGGGACCGAGGCATCTTCCACAGAGAAGACGAGGTGACTGAATACAACACACATAAATCCACCAGGGTGAGTGAAAGCACTGCCGGCTGGCTCCCAGTTCACACGTGCTGGTGTGTTCCAGACCATGCATGTGTCTCAGGCTCCTTGTTGGTGTGAAGTGCCACCAACTTGGTTCTCACAGCAACCCCGTGTAGGGTTCCCAAGGTGCGGCTGCTGGCTCTGAACCACTGACCTTGTGGTTAGCAGTCAGTCCAGTAGTCTCCTTAGGGGGCCTTCACTAAAAGGTCCAATCTAAACAGTGACTGCTGAGGAGATTTGCTGGGCCACTTCATTTCAGAGCGGAGAGGTCAGCTCAGAAGGTTATGACAACTTTTTTTATGATTCCCAAGGGGTCATAGTGATAAATTTTGCTGAAGGACCAGGATGAACTTGGGAGCCTAGGAGTCTATTAGGAAAGAGTTTTAAAATGGAAAAGCATGTTGGTGAGGGAGAGGTCAGGAAAGTTGTGTCAAACGTTTGTCCATCACAAGGCTCCTGCTCATTCTTTGGGGTCCATGGATAAGAAACCCAATTTGAGCCCCTCAGGGCTTCCAAAACTGCCATTTTGATGTGGTATAAACTGAAGAGCTCAGAGTTCTTTAAGGAAGGGCAGAGAGATGGAAGCCCCACGTTTCAGGAGTGGAGACCTGGGTGGGGATTGTGTGGAGAAACTGCAGTTGGAGACTTCGTTTGATAAAGACTTCTAATTTCATAGCAGTGCTTTGTGACTGGCCCTCGTGGACAATCTAAAGGGGATCAATGGAGAAACTCTGAGCTTGTCATTGGAAACATCTCTGACACACACCTCCAGCTTGGGCTTGCTCACACCTTCTCAGCACCCGTCCTGTTCTCTCATGGGTGTATCTCTCTCCTGCAGAAGCCCCCATGAGAAGAAGAAGAAGAGGCGGTCACGGTCACGGACCAAGTCCAAGGCCAGGTCTCAGTCAGCGTCCCCAGGCAAGCAGTCGGCACATGGGACGTCGGCACACTCAGCCAGCATCTCTCCTGTGGAGAGCCGGGGCTCCAGCCAGGAGCGTTCCAGGTAAGCTCGGGGCTCTGTCTCCCAGCAGGCCAGACTTCCTGTCACGTGTACACATACTTCTTAGTGCGGCAGGTACTCATGCCTAGAGGAAGGAGTTACACATGGACTTGCTGGAGAGCAGCAGAAATCCTGGCTGATCTCAGATCATTCACTGTTGACTATTTGACCCCAAAAAAAATCCCACCAAGCCCACTGATGTTGAGTTGTTTCTGATTCATAGGGACCTGTAGACAGAGTAGACCCCCCCGCCCCAGAGGGTTTCCTAAACTAATATATATGGAGAAGACATGAATTTATGGTCTTTCTCTTATGGAGAGACTAGTGAGTTTGAACCACCAACTTTTTGGTTCACAGCCCAATGATTAACCCCCACTGCATTACCAGTTGTGACATCGTCGTTAAAACGTGAAGCGGCATGGGCCCTCAGCCACGTCACCGAGCAGGGAGGGCCTGGTGGGCTCAGACAGCCTCAGCAGTCCCCAGAGCGGGCTGGCCACCCGCCACAAGGCACCTCTTTTCTTCTGTGCTCCTCCAAGGTGTTTTGTTTATAGAAGATAGTCTGCTTTAGGCTGTGTTTACACAGTATTAAGAAGTTGAGTCACCTAAACGTAAGAATGAAATGTGGGATTGTGACGCTGGGTTTCTAGGACGCAGGGTGCTAGGTGTTGGGTGTTTCTTTGTGTGTCTTGTCGCCACATCCGTGTGCAGCACTTCCCTGACCCCTGACTGTTTGTCGCACAGGGGAGTCTCTCAGGAAAAAGACGGGCAGATCTCGTCAGCGATCGTCTCCTCCGTGCAAAGCAAAATAACTCAGGTGAGGAGGAAGAGTGTGTGGGTGGCCTCTTGTCCTCCACTACCTGTCATCTCAGGAATTCACAGAAGGCACAGCTTTGGGCCCAGGGCCCAGGTGTGAGTGGAACTAGCCAGGCTGGCCAGTCCATCTCCTCCCAGCTCTGAGACACTGTCCACCCCATCAGAGCGCCCCCTCTCCCCACTCAGCGCGTGGGATAGCAGGAAGCCCTAATCCCAGGGCGCTCACTCCTGTGTCCACACATCCTCCCTCCCTGCCTTACAGGACCTTATGGCCAAAGTGAGAGCCATGCTTGCAGCGTCCAAAAACCTACAGACCAGCGCCTCCTGAGCCCAGGACGCCACCAGCACGGACTTGGCCACTGTGTGCAGTGACGGAACCAGAAGAGCCGACGCTCACGACTGTCCAGACCGTCTCAGAAACTGCCCCAGGTGCCCCCTGGATCCCTTGACAAGTGATGACTTTTGTACATTAACTTTTGATGACATTTTCAGTTTAGGATTTTTGACCAGCAGTCTCTTACCTGTATATTTGTAAATAATACCATGTTTCTGTGAAAATGTATCAAATAAAATGAGAGGAAGACACCTTTTGTAGCTAGCCCTGGGGCACCCTTCCCTGCCTGGCCTGTCACTTTGTTGAGTCCGGGTTGCCACCTGTCTCCTGGGTCTGGGACATGTTCTGTGTAGGGCAGCAGTGTGTGGGTGGTTGTGGGGTTCAGCAGCCTACACCACCTGTCTTGGAGGAGTCTTCCTGCCCCCCAGGCCCCCACTTCCCAGCCCTCCCTCCCTCTCCCCTGAAGAGTTGTCACTTCACGGGGGCTCAGTCCCAGTTCACACGCTGCTGCTGCTGCTGGGGAGATGCTCCCAGGTGATGGCCGACGGTGACCCTGAGCCCTGGCGGTTCCCTCAGCCGCCGGGAAGGTATCACTGCAGCAGCTGCATCCAGCTGTTCACCTTCAGTCCTGTCGGCCAAGCGAAGGCCCTGTGTTCATTACGTCTGTGCCTTGGTTTTCTCTCTGACTTTTGTGTTCAGCAAATCCCAGCTAGTATGTTGTTGTTGGCTGTTGTCACCTTGGTGGTCTTTGCTGGCGTTCTCGACACAAAATCACCCTCCACAAGGCGTCCCGTGTGGAAATGCAGCTAACTCTGTCATCTCACCTGGATCACAGGCCCCTGCAGCCTCCTCTCCCTCACAAACATCCACACATCTTGCACAGAATCTTGTTTTGCTCCACATGCTCGTCTGAGACTGAGCCTTGTTCTCTGAAATGGCTTCGCCCATCCATGTGGCCTCCCGCCAGGTGTTCACTCTGACCAGGGATGACTCCTGGGAGTCCACAGTCTGCTCTCAGCAATAGTAAATGTCCCTTGGGGAGCAGAGCTCTGGGACAGAGGGGACTGTACTTTTTTAGTTCTGACTCAGAAGTTACCCCTGAAAGGGGACTGCACATCCTCACAACGCATTGATTGTCAAGTGCTGTCCAGTCGCTTCTGACACATGTCAGCCCAGTTGAGGGTTTCCGAGGAGCAGTTGGTGGGTTTAAACTGCTAACCTTGCAGTTCAAACTGACCTTGTGATCCAATGCTTACCCTACACCACGTGCAAACATCTTAATCCTGCAGTCAGGCACGTACCACATCCTCTCCTTCTTGCTTCGTGGTCAGTACTGTAGAAGAATGGCTCGTTGAAAGGCTTGTGTGTGACCTTCCCACGGGCCCTTCCGTGTCCTCCGGAGCCTGGAGCTGCTCTGTGCCTTGTTGGACAGGACGGTCGGGACTCGACACAGGAAGGGACAAGCTCATGTTACTGAGTGATCTCTTCCCTCTAGACTAGGGTCTTTCTTAGATGTACAAACACCAGTGTGCAGAGTTGAAGCTGGTTTTCCCCAGGACCTGTGGATTCTGTGTCTGATCCAGAAAGGACTTGTATGCCAACACTGGTTTCCTTGTCTCGCTCCCTTGTTAATCATTGTGCCTACAGTGCCCGGGTCCTGCTGGGCTGTCTCCACTGTAAGGGGCCTTGCTGGACTGTTGGTCTCTGCTCTATCCTGGTGGAGAGACTACTCCGGGCCACGTCTGCACTCACCTGTCATCGGAGGCAGCGGCCACGTTTCCAGAGTGTTCTGGAGGCTGTGGAATTCACGGGAGCCCGCGGGCCCTGTTTCACGTGTTGACTTGGGTCTGAAACAAAGCACACCAGGGATGAGAGAAGCATTGCTGTGATGTCTGGGTCCGAAGCATCAGAAGGTGCCCCGAGTCCTGCATGTTGGAAGGAGATGCATTATTGACGTGGACTGTACTGGGCAGACACCTCACCAGGCTCCTGGAAGCGAGGTAGCTCGAGGTGTAGGCGGACCTTGCTGTACTGTGCTTTGTAGATACTGCGCACATGACAGATAGCTCTCATTCGGTCATCACATGTGGCGGACAACAATAGAGAGAAGTCAGCATCACTTACATGCCCTGGGAAACCAAAGCTCCCGCGTGACTCATCTTATCATGATATTCACTCTTGTCTCCGTGGTCTCTGTAGGCTGCTACCAGTGATGGGCCCGTGAAAGTGTATGCTCACACTGCAAACCACAGGATGGGACAGACGGTTTGACGGGGTGCTGAAGTCAAGAGATTTCCTTTCGTTTTCCATGGTGATGGTTACAGGCAAACCTTGGCACTTTCGAGGGTTTGCTTCCAGACCCCCCCCCAACACACACAAGAAAACTGGATCACAAGCCAGTCCTGTGTGTAGAACAGTAATGTTGACTCTCAGTCGTGAGAGAGGACATAAAGTGAGTACGTGCAGTTGGGAAAACGGAGCCAACAGAATAGCTGAGTGCAGGGTTGCAGCAGGCCTTCCGTCTGTAAAACATAGTAACTGCAAAGCACAGTAAATAGGTGTACCTGTGTTCCCCTGAGAGCCGCATGCAGGGAAGCAAGAGCGCAGTGCATCCTGGTCCACGCTCCACTGGTGCCACAATGACTAGATGCAACACTTTGCTGGAAAGGATGATGCCACGCTGAACATCTCTTGGCCATTAGAAAGAGTATTTTCTTATGATAATTTACAATCTTTGTACAGGAGCAATTCTGAAGATTTTTAAATGTACTAATAAAATTGTTCTTCAGAAACAAAAATTGTTCTCCAAAGCATCTTGTCACGTTTGCCAGCACGTTCATGGCAACATCTTGGTGGTGAACATCGCTGGGGTCCGCGGGTCCTGTTCATCCTGCTCCTTGTGACCCGTGTCTGAATCACTAAACTTCCCATGACTTAATGCAGGCTGAGCAGGCCAGCTGCTCTGCCAAATTCCAGGAACAGGCCCTTCCTTCACCTAGAGTAGAGAGAGACGGCTGGCCGGGACGGAGCAGCAGAGAGCTTGAGCTTCCTGGTATCTGCTGAGAAGGGTTGGGAACTGCAACGTCAGACAGCTGCAGCAGGCATTTCTGACCCACGTGTGTTTGTTGCAAATAGTGACACGTTAGCTTGGTTCAGTAATAGTTTCTTATGAATCCTTCCAAGTTATGAGTAAATATGGAAATGTATTTTCCCTTCCTACACACACACACCCCCCAAAAGAAACTACTGTTTCCTCCATGCCTGCTTCTCCGTGCGTTTACCGTTAACTGTGCACCTTGGGCGGAGTTCTGGTGTAGCACTATAGTAGAAGCACTGCATTGTTAACTGCAAGGTTGGCGGTTCAAACCCACCAGCTGCTCCGCCGAAGCCCTGTGCAGGATTGCTAGGAGTCAGAACCAAGTTGGTAGCATTTCACAACAACACAGCTCGGACAGGAGAAAGGGGCTGTCTGCTCCTATAAAGATTCTCCTTGTGGGACGTGCTGAGGAGCGAGTCTACTCTTGTCCCAATCGACTTGGCCACAGTGGGTTTTTGCTCTTTGCCAAATCTGTGCATAAAGAGCTTTCTTAACTCGAAACCACAGCAGTGGCAGGAGTTGAACTGTGCCCTCTAAAAGGATATGTTGAAGTTCTAACCCACTAATCCCTATAAGCAGGACCTTAGTGGGAAGCAGGGTCATTACATGTAAATAGGTTCAGTCATCAGGGTTGGCCCCATTACAGAGGGGAGACGGCTCGAAGATGGAGGCAGAGATTGGACAGATGCGGTCACAGCAGCATGGACCACCTGGACCACCAGAGCTGAAGAGGTAAGGAAGGGTCCCATCCTAGAGCCTGGGGAGGGAGCACGGCCCCACCCTGGTCTCCGAAGTTTGACTCCAGAACCCTGAGTGGTGACTGTTCTTTTATACCAGCCCATCTGTGACACTGTTATGGCGGCCCACGGAAACGCAAGCAGACCGTTTTATACTGAAAGCCTGACATGGCGCAGTGAGTTCCCAGCTTTGCTCACCTCAAGGTCAGTAGCCAAATCCACCAGGCGACTCCTGAGGAGACACGGCTCTGGGCACAGGCTCTGGCTCTGGGGTCCAGGCTGTTCCTGCTGCTCAGCTGGACAGGTCAGTGGACAGGACAGTGGGCAGGACAGCCAGAAGCAGACTTCCACCACGTGTCTGTGCTTTCCACACCACATCCCGATCACAGAACATTATCGTACACATGCCTGTACATCTGCCTCCCTCCCTCCTCTCAGGGCCTACGCGGTACACCACATGTCATCAGCATGTCTCTCTGGGACAGATTTCTTCTTGACTTGACAGTTCTCTTCTCACAGTTCTTCACTTTTCCATTTTACAATGAACCATCTGTGATGAACCAGCCGTCTTCTGGTGGACATTTGGGTTGTTTTTGATCCTGCTATTACAAATCACCAGATAGATTACCTTAGTCACATGTTACTTCTCGTATCTGCACAAACAGCTTTCACAAAAAGCAGGACCGTGCAAACATCTCCAGCAAAGAGCCTTCTAGTAAATGTTTTAGGATTTGCCAACCACGGTTTCCATGACAATGCCCTGACTCTCATACTTTAGCATGACAGCAACCAGGGAAGAGAAGTAAACGCATGGGTGTGGCTGTGCTCTCATAAAACTATAATTTATCGGCACTAAAATGTGAATTCCATAATCATTTCCATGAATCACAAAATAGTCTCCATTTGGTTTTCCCCCAGGCAAATGGCAATGAAAAACCCATTCTTGCTTTATGTTGTTGTTAGGTGCCATCGAGTCGGTACCAACGTATAGCAACCTCATGCACAGCAGAACAAAACACTGCCCGATCCTGGGCCAACCTCACTACTGTTGCCACGCTTGAGTCCATCGATGCTGCCACTTGGCCAATCCATCTCGTTGGGGATCTCCTCTTTTTCTCTGACCCTCCACCTTACCAAACATGATATCCTTCCCCGGTGAC